CGTCGTATACGGCTTCATCTCTTCGTAGATAGGGGTGACGTTGTTGTGCTCAGCGCCTATGTATCATGCCTTGGATGTGTGTGTGTGGGGGGGGGGGGCGGGGAGGGGGTGGCATGCGTTTCTACCGCCGTGTTGATGATCGTTGCTTTATTTATAAAGTGGGGCGACATCCACAATACGGTCCGGGATGTTGTCCACAAATTATAGTAGAATGACCATCTCCTGCCAAGTAAGAGTTGTACCTACTGTGACATGCCAATTGTCTAATGCATAGATTATATCTTCTTCGCAAATTTTCATTATAAACTGAAATTTATCAGTGTATATTCCTCATTCTTCAACTAGTCGCTGTTACTTGTATGGAAACGAAAGATTCAGTGACCGAATTTTCTTGAGCTCACCAAATAGCTGAGTAAGTTAAAGATCCCAGTCAAGTATGTTTTGATTCAGTGACAGAAGTCTGTTTTGAAATTGTAGTCTGCATTGAAATCTCAAACAAAGCCCTATATTTAGGAACGGAGGGAGTACATGTCTTGCAGAGTCACTGTTCTTATTGGAAATGAAGAGGGTGGTGTTGGAATTCCAGAACCAAAATCTCAATCCATCCCATACCTGTTGTAGTCCGCTGGCAAGACATGTACCGCGTATTGGAAATGAAGAGGGGGCCTCAGCCAAAATTGACTGTATCCTCTGTTTTGGCCGCTGGACGAACAGTGACGAAACAGAGCAGCGGTCCAGCGAAAAACAGAGTTCGTTTTTCACTTGAACGCCGGCAACGCCAGGCGACTAACCAGTTGCAAATTCACTGTATCATCCTCACAAAAGCAATGACGGCTACAGTTCAAAGCAAATTCCCTTTGTATGCCTTCTGTTCATTAAGTTGTTCTTGTATTGGGAAATTTGATGGTGCATTGCAATATACGAGAGCACGTGTATTATATGGCGATCCGACATATGAGACTAACTGGGTCTTATTAAAGCCCAGGGGTATTTTTTACCTAAAAAATTATTGAAGTTTAGCTGGCCCAATTAATTCCACGGGTATTATTGTCCTAAAAAGAATTAAGTTAATTGCATTAACATACCACTTAATTATATCTAAATGTCATCCTGGGTTGTCATTTGAATTTGCGTTAGAGCGGTTCCTCAGCTCATCTCGGACCTAGTCTTCGGCAAACAGATCGCCGCCCTTGATCACCGCCTATCAGTGTTGTGCACACTCGTCGTGCCACCCCCTCCTCCTCCTCCTTTCCCTCCCTCGCACGCCGTCCTCCTCGGGTTATGCGGCGCCAGATCTTGCAAAGAGCCGCATAATCCCATCCTTCCTCGATTGGACGCCCCCTTCCCCGACAGGAGGCCCGATCATCATCATCGCCGCCCATCAACTTTCATCAACTTTATCGCACCGGATCTTCGCAGAGACCTCTGAGATGTAAGTGCCTAGCCATCTCTAATCTTGTCTATTCACTTCTGTATAGTACCGATAGGATCAGATTTGATTAGGGTTTATGATATGTAATGTGAGAAAGTTGTGACGACTAGATTTCAATTGAAAGTAAGTTAATTCGGATTTAGTTAGGACATATTTTGGACTTGGTTTGGGTTATGTGGCATGAGAAAGTTGTCAGCAGATTTAGATTCAAAGAAAGTGTAATTTGGATTAGTTATGACATATTTAGGAGATATTTAGCATTGAGTTTGGAGTTATTTTGGATTTAGTTAGGCGATATTTTGAATTGAGTTGGGCGTTATTTTTTATCAACTTAGAGATATTTTTGAATTGAATCTGAAGTTATTTTGGATTTAGTAGGAAATTTGATCTA